CTTTTGTCCTGAATTCTGTTAATAATTTGATATTAACATTGCCATCCATTCTTAATTTTTGTTACCATCTCCCTGGTTTTTCTTTCTTCCTTCTTTCTAAAAACCGTTTTTGCCAGGTGTGGTGGCTCACGCCTGCAATCCCAGCACTTTGGAGACCGAGGCAGGCGCATCACCTGAGGTCAGGAGTTTGAGACCAGCCTGGCCAACATAGTGAAATCTCATCTCTACTGAAATACAAAAATTATGGTGGCGGGCACCTGTAATCCTAGCTACTCAGGAAGCTGAGGCATGAGAATCGCTTGAACCTGGGGGGTAGAGGTTGCAGTGAGCCAAGATCATGGCACTGCACTCCAGCCTGGGCGACAGAGAGAGACTTTGTCTCAAGAAACAAAACAAAACAAAACACTTTTAACATATGCATACTTATGTTTGAATTTACTTCTAACACTTCATTTGTCATGCTTTCTGAGTTTCCTCTATCTTCCCCAACACAATTATGTATTTCCTATAATGTACTAAAATAATTACGTTTTCTTGGTACTCATTTCTTTTGGAAGTTTTACACTTGATATCCAGTGATTCTCAAAGTGGAGTTCAGAACCAATTGTATCATAATCACCTTGGGTGGTTTTTAAAAGTCATTGTGGTAGAACATCTTATGATTTACCATTTTAGCTATTTTTAAGAGTACAGTCCAATGGCATTAAGTAAATTCATAGTTTTCCAACCATCACCACTAACCATTGCTACAACTTTTTTATTATCCCAAACTGAAACTTCATACCCATTACACAGTAATTCCCTATTCCTTCCTAACCTTATCCTCTAATAAGCACCATTCTATTTTCTATCTCTATGGATTTGACTATTCCAGATATTTCATTTAAGTAGAATTATACAATATTTGTCCTTTCGTATTTGGGTTTTTAAAATTTTTTTTGAGATGGAGTCTTGCTCTGTCGCCCAGGCTGGAGTGCAGTGGTGCAATCTCAGCTCACTGCAACCTCCACCTCCTGGGTTCAAGTGATTCTCCTGCCTCACCCTCTCGAGTAGCTGGGACTACAGGCACATGCCACCATGCCTGGCTAATTTTTTATATTTTTTAGTAGAGATGGGGTTTCACCACGTTAACCAGGATGGTCTCGATCTCCTGACCTCATGATCCATCCACCTTGGCCTCTCAAAGTGCTGGGATTACAGGCATGAGCCACCACGCCTGGCCTTGGCTTATTTCATATAGCATAATGTCTTTAAGGGTTGTCTATGTTGTAGCATTTATCAGAATTTCACTTCCTTTTAAGGCTGAACAGTATTCCATGTTATGTATATACCATATTTTATTTATTCATCCATCAACAGAAACTTAGGTTGTTATAGTTTAATATTGTGAATACAGGTGCTATGAATATGAGTATACAAGTATGTCTTCAAGTCTCTGTTTTCAATTCTTTTGGTATATACCAAGAGTGGAAGGGTAATTGCTAGATCATATGATAATTTTATGTTTAATTTTATGAGGAACCATCAATGCTGTTTTCCACTTGACATTTCTATCAACAATGCACAAGGGTTCTAATTTCTCCATATCCTCAACTAGGACTTGTCTGTTGTTGCTTTTATTCTACAGTAGTCATTCTAATGTGCATGAAGTTGTATCTCATTATAGTTTTGATATGCATTTCCCTAATGAACAGTGATGCTGAGCATCTTTTCATGTGCTTAATAACCACTTGTACATCTGTATACCTTCTTTGGAGAAACATCCTATTCAAGTCCTTTGTACACTGTTGACCTGGGTTGCATTTTTTGTTGTTGTTGAGTTTTAGGAGTTCTTTATATATACTATATGTATATATATATATATTTTATTGCATTTTAGGTTCTGGGGTACATGTAAAGACCATGCAGGATAGTTGCATAGGTGCATACATGGCAATGTGGTTTGCTGCCTCCATCCCCATCACCTATATTTGCCATTTCTCCCCATGTTATCCCTCTCCAACTCCCTACCCCTCACTGTCCCTCCCCCAGTTCCCCACCTCACAGACCTCAGTGTTATCCCTTTCTAACTCCCTACCTCTCAATGTCCCTTCCCCAGTCCCCCACCTCACAGACCTCAGTGTGTGATGCTCCCCTCCCTATGTCCATGTGTTCCCACTGTTCAACACCCGCCTATGAGGGAGAACATGCGGTGCTTGATTCTCCGTTCCTGTGTCAGTTTGCTGAGAATGATGGTTTCCAGGTTCATCCATGTCCCAAAGGACATGAACTCATCATTTTTTATGGTTGCATAGTATTCCATAGTGTGTATGTGCCACATTTTCCCTGTCCAGTCTATCGTGGATGGATTGGTTCCAGGTCTTTGCTATTGTAAACAGTGCTGCAATGAACATTCGTGTTCAGGTGTCCTTATAGTAGAACAATTTATAATCCTTTGGATATATACCAGGTAATGGGATTGCTGGGTCAAATAGAATTTCTGTCTAGGTCCTTGAGGAATCACCACACTGTCTTCCACAATGGTTGAACTAATTTACACTCTCACCAACAGTGTAAAAGTGCTCCTATTTCTCCACATCCTCTCCAGCATCTGTTGTCTCCAGATTTTTTAATGATCGCCATTCTGACTGGCGTGATGGTATCTCAATATAGTTTTGATTTGCATTTCTCTAATGACCAGTGATGATGAGTATTTTTTCATTAATACTTTATCAGATATGTGATTTGCAAATATTTTCTCCCGTTCTGTGGGCTGCCTTTCTACTTTGTTGATAGCATCCTCTGATCCACAACCTAGTTGTTTTTTAAAATGTAAAATGTTGAGTCCCATTCTACATCTATTTAATCAGAATGCCTGCAGGGTGAAGTGTGAGCATCTGTGTTTTGAAAATTGTACCATGTAATTATTATAACTCACTCTTTTAGTTGTTGCCCCTAAATTTTTTGTTAGTATTTAAAAACATTTTTTGGCACACAATTTGAGAACTGACCAGGATATCCTGGTCCTTTCCTGGGGGGAAAAAAATTCTAACACAATTTTACCCCTTCTTTACCCTGATTCTGACATTTTATCAAAATTACATGACATTTTAGCTCTTGATTGTTACTAATTTTTTCATACCATCCTTTCATATTTTAGGGAATTCTTTCTTTATAACTGCATGAAACCTCTCAGTCATACTATCAGTAATTTTTTTTTTTTTTTTTGAGGTGGAGTTTCGCTCTTGTTACCCAGGCTGGTGTGTAATGGCACGATCTCGGCTCACCACAACCTCCGCCTCCTGGGTTCACACAATTCTCCTGCCTCAGCCTCCTGAGTAGCTGGGATTACAGGCACACGCCACCATGCCCAGCTAATTTTTTGTATTTTCAGAGGAGACGGGGTTTCACCGTGTTGACCAGGATGGTCTCGATCTCTTGACCTCGTGATCCACCCGCCTCGGCCTCCCAAAGTGTTGGGATTACAGGTGTGAGCCACCGCGCCCGGCTCAGTAATTTTTTAGACTTAAAATTTTAGCCACAGATTATAAAATAATTTTCTTTCACTTATAGCCATATAAATTTTTTCACTTTGACAACTCTGTTGTAATCTAGAATCTTATAATGCTGATGAAATGTATGTTCTTCAAAGTCTGATCTGCTGAATTGAGTCTGATTCTCATTTCTTTGTTGATAATGTGTCTTTTCCTTTTTGTTGCTGTTTTTACAAATCATTCTCTCCCTGTTTCTCACTCTGAAACCTTTCAGCCCTTCTGTTTATCTTTGAAACTTAGAAATATCACTAACATGTATGTTTTCTCTCCCTCTCAGTCACTATTCCTACCTCATACTAAGTGTCCCTTCAAAATTTATAAAAATTCTCTCCAATCCTGTCTCAATTATCTCCCCTGTCCTCCAGTCTCTATGTTCATTATTTCTGGAATAGACAGATGATGATTTCTGGGATTTTTCCTCAACTTCTCTTTACTCACATTTCACATCTATTTCTTTCTTGACTTTTTATGTTTAAAAATATTCATTCCTTTTATCTTCCATATCAATTACTGCTTTTAGCCCTCTCCATTTTTTTCAGACCTTCTACTGAGTTACTTTATGTTGGCAATAGTTTTAATTTCTAAGAACTAATTTGATTTAATGTACTTTTTCCCTTGATTCCTATTTTTATTTTATTCCCTTCCATGTCTGTTTCCCTTTTGCTTTCTTGCTAGGCTAATTTTATTAAAATGTTTCATAACGCTTCATTTCCCATTCATAATTAAAATGATGACTAAGTGAATCGTAGAAAGCTGGTCTGTGTTTCCATGCAGGTAACAGGTCTATTTCCTCTTTTCATGTCCTGGGGAGATCTGAAGTCCTTCAGGCTTGGCTGTAGCTTTATAATCTGGTTCCAACACCCATTCTAGGAACCTTTCTACAGTCTAATTCCCCATTTATTTATAAAATTTGTAAAATTATTCTTTCAGCTTTAATCAAATAGTACCTGTTATGGCCAACCCCTCCATAAAGTACGGTGTGGGAGGGGAATTTGTATAGAGTCAAATTGTACAAATTTCCCAGAAGGATGCGTTCTGTCTACACCCACATACTATAGCTGCAACCCCACGCTTGAAATTTCTCTATTCTTTCCTGCAGACTTAGGATTGTAGTATCTGCTGATACCCTGATCATAGTTTCTACTTGCTTTTTATCTTCCAGGAGTTTCTCAAAACTTCTGATCTACTAGTACAGAACTATTCTATTTTCCCACAGTATTAGGAATTTATTCTTTCTTCCTAAGTCATTTCTGTCATATTAATGGGATTCTGAGACGGATGAAAAGTAAATGGCTACTTTTGGCCTGCTATTTAGATTGAGAAGGTCAGGATTATCTTAAATGTACGTTTTTACAAGTTTTCCCATTTCTTCTAATCATAGTCATAATATAAGCAACCTTAAAAGTTCAAGAGGATTTTTAGATTAAAAGTATTTGCAGATCACTTTAAAGGTTGTCAGTATTATACCTGTCTATGGCTTGAAGATCATTGGCTGGATTCCAAGTGGGATCAAATAATACAACAACATTGGCACCAATAAAATTGAGGCCTAGTCCACCAGCCCTGGAGGAAAGAGGAAAAAAAAGTACATTAGAACAGCAAAAACTAATTGTTGTGCTACAACTCAGCTGTGTCAGGTTTCTTTCTATAGCTAGTATTGCATTAATTTCATCAAAGTAAGGGGTGATTAAAATACGAAATGCCACAAATAAAAGATCTGAGGCACAATTTTACTTTTACCACTCTAGAAAATCCCTAAGAAACATTAAAGCCCATGTCAATAGGTTGTGCTCGTTTTTACTTTTTTTGACACTAAAATACTACTACAGCAAGATTTTACTAACATAATTTTTAAAAACTGTTAGTACATTCTAGCTAAATAAAGTAATAAATACATTTAAAAACTCAACCCATGAACAGATGTATATCTTATTCTATGAAGTGCAGCTAAAATTCTGAATATTACATAGAAAATAAACATAAAACTCTGAAAGGCACAGAGAAGATAGGTAGACTAGGGACTACAAGACCTAAGGAATGGCATGACAATGAGTTCCCTGGCTTGCTATTTGCTTAAGATACCACAGGCTGGGTTCTTAACATATCCCAAGCTGCTGGAAATGACAAAAGTCACAGACAAAAAAAAAAAAAAAATTCCCCCAAAAGAGTCTTTTCCTTTTAGCCGAAGAACTAGGAAAGGTATAGCCTCGAAAGACAGAAAAATGTGAGATAATAACCACCCTACTCCTGCCAAACACCAAGGAACAATCTGTGGCCCCATCCCTACCTTAGTCAGCAAAGGCTGACTGAGGATGCTAAACTCCTACCCTTGCCTGGCTACAAAGAGACACTACCACTGATTCCTGCTGGGGGGTATCAGAGAAGACTAAGTGAGGAGCTAGAGCTTTCATTTTCTGCCCAATGATAATAGGGTCTCTCTCCATGGTGTCAGGGGATACCCAGAGGGAGTAGTAGTAAAGCACTTCCCTCTCAGGCTATCAGCAGAGGCCAAATACGGAAACCTAGTTTTCCACCCCTACTTGCCTGGCATGGTATCAGAAGAGGGGTACTAAAATGGAAGATTTAAATCAGATGCAGAGTCTTATAACACAATACTCAAAATGTACAAGAAACAATAATACAATAAAAAATCACTAATCCAAGAACCAGGAAAATTACAGCTTGAATAAGAAAAGACTGAGATGAATCAGATGTTGGAATTATCTGACAAGAATTTTAACACAGCCATCTTAAAGATGTTCCAACAAGCAATTACAAACATGCTTGAAACAAACAAAAAACTGAGTCTCAAAAAAAAAAAAAAAAAAGAAACGATATAAAGAGCAAAATGAAAATCCTGGAACTGAAAAATAGCTGAAATACAAAACCTGCCAAATGGGCTCAGCAGTACAGTGGAGAAGACAGAAGACAGAATCAGTAAGCAGGATGAGAATCAGTAATCATTTACCAAATCCGAACAACAGAGAGAGAAAAATCAGAAACCATAGAGGTCAGAAGAAAGTGGCACACCTTTAAAGCACTGAAAGAAAGGAACTGCCAACCCAAAATTCTATACTCAGTGAAAATATGCTTCAGAAAGGAAAGGGAAGTTAAGACATTCTCAGACTAAAGAAAACTAAGAGCATCTGTTACCAACTGACTTAACCTAGAAGAATGGTGACTAGAAACTTCATAAAAGAAAAAAAAAAAGGCAGAATAAGGCATGGAACTACAAAAAGAAAAGAGGAAAATCAGAATAGGTTAAAATAGGAGTGAATATAAATACTATTTTATTTCTCATGAGTTTTATAAATCACATTTCATGGTTAAAGGAAAACTGCAACACCATCTGATATAGTGCTTAGGGGATGTAGAGGAAATACCTCAGATAATTATATTTTGAAAGTGGAGTAGAAAAAGAGCTTAAATATAAAGTTTCTATACTTTGTTCAAACTGGTAAACGTGTATACCAGTAGACTGAGAAGTTACTATGTACAATGTAATACCCAGAGCAACAACCAGGAATCTACACAAAACAATATACTAAAAAACACTATACATAAACAAATACAGAATCCTAAAAAAATGTCTAAATAAAAGAAAAAGTGGAACCAGAATTAGGAGCTAAAAAGATAGAAATTAAATTAAAAATATCAATAATTACCTTCAATATAATGGCCTAAATATACCATTTAAAATTTTAAGATTGGCAGGGTAGATGGAAGAAATAATACGCTCTCCACAAAAAAAAAAAAAAAAAAAAATGGGATGACATAGCTAGGTTGAGAGTGAAAGGATGACAAAAGATATACCAGGCAATTATTTAAAAAAACTGGCTATATTAATATTAGGCAAAACATATGTCAGAACAAAGAAAATTACTAGAGAAAAGAGGGACAATGCATGATGACAAAAAGACCAATCTGCCAGGTGAACACACCAAAATAACAGAGCTAAAAGATACATGAAGTCAAATTAAGCTGAAAAGAGAAACAGATAAATGCATAATTATAGTTGAGGATTTCAACATCCCACATTTGATAACTGACAGAACTCCTAGAGAGAAAAATCGGCAAGGATATAAAAGAACGTGAGCAACCAACAGGATCTAAATGACATATACAGAACACGCCACCTAGAAAAGCACAATACACACTTTTTTTTATATTAATAATAAAAACTTCCCCCAAAAATATATCTTTAGTGACTTCTCTTCACTGTATGCCTTAACCACAGGTGAAGTTAAATAAAGACAAAACTTTTGGCCGAAAGACTCGGTAGCACGAATGCTGGGCACAACTTCATTCTTGATTTTGACTTTCAGAATCATACACTAGTAGACTACAAACAACTTTCTAAGCAAACCGTATAATTTGAACCACAATGCTTTCATAATTATTCACTTGTAAGGATTAAGTTAAGGATTTGGGGTACTATACTGTAAAAGTAAAATTTTCCAGATGATATAAGTGCCTCTAGGTAGTCCAGCACCAGGAGTCAGAAGCTTTCAAATGATCTGGAGAAACATCATTTTCTGTCTCTCATGATATTGTTCCAAAACACCGTTAACTTTCCCAGAAAGATGAGGATGTTTCTTTCGTTATGTACCCCAAGAGAAAGAGATTCTAAACCACTCTTTTTAAATAAATAATGAGAATCATATTATATGCCTGTTGTTACGATCTGCCTCTTCTGCTTTATTTTGTGTCAATCTCACACCTTTTTATTCGGCTATTAATATCTTCATTGACCCTTAATGCACAGCAAGAAAAATAAGAGATTTTTTGCCTTTGAGGAGCAATAAAATATAATAAATGCTTTATTGGAGTTTATGTGTGAAGATCCATAGGCATTTAAGAAATAGATAGATCAAAAAATCCCATAGAAGGATGGTGATGTTGTAACTGGTTCTTTAGAGATAAGATTTTATTTAAAAGAAAAGGAAAAGCAGGTTGGTAAAGGGCATTTTAGGCAGAAAGAATAGCATAGGTACCAAAATGACTAGAGAACTTATGTGGCTGGTGCTTAGTATACATGGAGGCAACAGCTTGGGTGTGTGACTACATACGAGAACTTGTGAGTTATTTTAACGAAGCTCAGTTTAACAGAGAGAGGGTAAGTATGCACTCTGTGACAGGCCCTGGCAGAAACAGGTCCCTTAAAGTTTATCACTCGGAAAGTAGAGGGGTATAGGAAGAGTTGTTCAGAAACATGTAAAAGGATAGATAGTTCAGTACAGAATGGCAAATTAGGGTAGGAGGCGGCACAGAGAAGAAAGATTTGGTTCAGGCTTTGTTAGTGACGCTTGAAGGACAAGGAGACGTTTGCCTTTTAAAAGAAAAGGCAAAACTAAAATCCAAGGACACACTGATTTTCTTTCTCTTCCTCAAGTGTTTTCCTAACGCTGTCTTTCAGGCTTTTCTCTGAGGCTTTGCATTGCCATTTACCCTCATCAGCTACCTACACTGATTAACAAAACAACTCACACTTAGTTAATGCTTTACACTGGATGCTAATCATCTAGAGAAAGAAAAATGAGAATCTTTTCTCCTGTAATTTCTATCAAAAATGGAAAGAAATTAACCTTTATTGAGCATCTACTACATATCAGGAACTATGCAACATATTTTCATATATACTAGTTCTTTTGTTCTCAAGACGACTTCTTCTTCTTTTTTTTGAGACAGAGTCTTGCTCTGTCTTGCCCAGGCTGGAGTGCAGTAGTGCCATCTTGGCTCACTGCAGCCTCCATCTCACAGGTTCAAACGATTCTCCTGTCTCAGCCTCCTGAGTAGCTGGGACTACAGGCTTGCACCACCGCATCTGGCTAATTCTGTATTTTTAGTAGAGATGGGGTTCCACCATGTGGACCAGGCTGGTCCTCGAACTCCTGACCTCAGTTGATTCACCCACCTCGGCTTCCCAAAGTGCTGGGATTCCAGGTGTGAGCCACCACACCCAGCCTGTTCTCAAGATTTCTATAAGCAAAATATTACCCTGATTTTTTAGGCGAGGAAACTAACAATCAGAAAAATTAATTTGTTCATAATTGTTCATAATCTCCTAGGTAGCCAGTGTCTGGATTCAAACCCAAATGTCCTGATTTAAAGTTCAGTGCTCAGTAGAAATTGAATTTTCTCCTTTGGAAAACTGCTTATTAGACATAGCATGAAAACGTCACAGAGACTTGAACTCAAAGAAAGGAGTGTGGAATAGAAAGTATTAGAAAGGATTTTAAAAAATGAGTAAGTTAGGGGATTGGGTGGAATTTAGACAGGAGAAAAGCAGAAAAGAAGTTAAAGGTTTATGTGTTGAATAAAACTAATTATCTATTCCAGTTAGCTTCTTGATGGCGAAGTCAGGCATGACCCATTTATGATACCATCTCAGGGGCCATATATAAGCCCCGGATAAGATCTGTACCAGCTGAAGAAGAGATTCTGAAGTTATAACTTCAGGCCTTGCGGAAGAAGCAAAGCTCCCTTTAAAGAAGAAGGAAAGAAACCCTACACTCTCTCTCTCTGCAGATGAGATGATTCTCCATTTGATGATAATACAACTCAGAAACCTAAACTTTAAAACCTGTCATTCTATTCTTACATGGCTAACAGCAAAGGGGTACTTGTTAAGCAAAAAAAAAAAGGAAAAAAATTGGATATTTCTCTTTTCAAGCTGAGGACTGGTATTTGAGATACCTAATGAGTATACAGGCAGTTTATTCCTCAGGTCTGCCACATTCTATTCCTGTATCAAATAAGTGTATCAGAAAGTACACCTTAACTATATCTTAATGTTCTACAAAAATGCCTTTGATGAAATAAGTTTTATTATTATGTATTAGAAAAGGTCAAATAAAGTATTTATTTGAACAATGCTTCTAAGAAAACCTAAATAGAAGGACACCATGTTTATGGATAGGGTGGCTTCATATCTTAAAATCTCCCATTTTCCTCAAACTCATTAATAAATTCATTGATTTTCCAAAATCGAAAAACCCCAGAAAAAATGCCAGATGATCCTTCTTTAAATAAACTGAATGAAATGACTACAAAAAGCTAGAGTTTAAAACATTAATGTTCCAGAACAAAAAGTAACTCCAAAAACAAAAGAGCTCAGAAAGCAAGAAAAACTAAATTTAGATTAAAAATGTGATGGCTGGGTGTGGTGGCTCACACCTGTAATCCTAGCACTTTGGGAGGCCTAGGAGGGCGGATCATGAGGTCAGGAAATTGAGACCAGCCTGGCCAACATGGTGAAACCTCATCTCTACTAAAAATACAAAAATTAGCTGGGCATGGTGGTACGTGCCTATAGTCCCAGCTGCTCAGGAGGCTGAGGCAGGAGAATCACTTGAACTCAGGAGACAGGGGGTTGCAGTGAGCCAGGATCACGTCACTGCACTACAGCCTGGGCAAGAGAGTCAGACTCCATCTCAAAAAAAAAAAAAAGGGATTGTTTCAAACAAAATAAGATCAAAAAATGACATTTTTCAGAACATAAAGCAAAAAGACAAAATGTAAAAGATGAGAGAAAAGTTCAGACATTTAAAGAACCAGTATCGTTTGAAAGTCTGATGACCTAGCAAGAGGGAGGGACCAGAGAAAAAGGAAGAAAAAATGCCATTGTTAAAGAAATAATAAAAATGCAATTTCCAGAGTTGAAAAAGAACATACAAGCCTACTATGCCCAGCACAAAAAAATGAACAAAGATCTACACTAAGACTCAAATATCATTACGAAATTTTGGAACACTGTAGATGAAGAAAAACTCTTATGAGTTCCCAAAAGGAATGAAAATCAGGTTGGCCCTGGACATCTATTTAGCCACACTATCTATCAGAAAACAATGCTGCAAGTCCTTCAAAGATATAAGGGGAAATAATTTTCAATTTAGATTGTACAGTCGGACAAAGTATCAATTAAGTGAGAGGGCAATAAAAGACACTTTCTATATTTAAAGATGAAGAAAATTTACTTCCCATATATTCTGGCTTAAAAATTTACACGAGGATATTTCCCAGGAAAAGAAGGGGGCAAGTCAAGAATAAAAACAACATGGAACCCAGGAAAAAGATCCAATGCAGAACAGCAGTGGAAAGAAAACTTCCAAGATGGCAGTCCTTTATCAGGCCTAGAAAACAACTAGGCCAGGCTGAAACCAAGGAATAAAGGTTTCAGGAGTAAGGTTCAAGATACAGAGGACTCAACAGAAGAGAATGTGCAAATGACAATTGGTAACACTGAGGATTATTACAAAGGGTAAAAACAGACTGAGGGGGAAAAGACTAAAAAAGTCATGATTGAGATTTGAAGTGAACTGAACAGTGCAAACATAAAACATGAATGAAGTCTTAGGAAAGAGAAGTCATATGAGGCTGATGTTAAGACTCATCCTGAATTGACCAAAAGGTCAGGAACATTCAGAGAAATTATCTTAGCACTACTTGCCCCTGGATTAAAGATGTTTAGTTCATAAAAACATAGTAAATCTGGTTTTTTGCCTCCAAATTTTAGAGCCAACCTATGTACAGTAACTGGTTATTGGTGCAGGACTTATTGAAAACATTAATACCCTTGACAAAGTAAAAGTTAAATAGTTAACAGATAATATGGACAGGTGACAAAAGTAGAAGAAAGGGTGTGTGGGGGGGGGGTAATGCTAATACCACATATTACAAAGACTTAGAAGGCATGTAGAAAGTTAATGGACAGAACATCAAAACTTGAATCATTTTCCAGTAAAACATGAGAGCAAACCAAGAAAGAAGACATGGATTCCAGGAAAAAGATCTAAGAAAAAATCCAATGGATCCAGTGCAGAAGTGCAAAGATTTAAAGTTACAAAAGTAGTTTACAGACAATAATTTTAAAAGAGCAAGCATTGCAAGAAAAAGGGGGAGAGAGTAGTGAAAGTAGGCTAAGTCCTCCTTCTTAACAGAAGTTATATAAAGTTGATAAACTAAAAGATAAGGAAGAGTTCATATTCTGGCAAGATAATGGCTAAGCCAATGTCAAAACACTTCTGTTACAACAGAGAGTAAATATAAACCTTTGCAAGCCAGGCACGGTTGCTCATGCCTGTGATCCCAGCACTTGGGGAGGCTGAGGTGGGCGGATCATGAGAACAGGAAATCGAGACCAGCCTGACCAACATGGAGAAACCCCATCTCTACTAAAAATACAAATTAGCTAGTTGTGATGGCACATGCTTATAATCCCAGCTCCTCAGGAGGCAGAGGCACGAGAATCACTTGAACCCGGGAGGCGGGGATTGTGGCGAGACAAGATCGCGCCATTGTACTCCAGCCTGGGCAACAAGAGTGAAACTCTGTCTCAAAAAAATAAAAATAAATAAACCTTTGCAAAATGATAGAAACAAAATAAAAACTGAACTTACATGTCTTTTGTAAAACACAGCTGAAGAATGTATTTATTATATTACGTAAGGTTCCTTATGTAATGACTTATGCAATATATTACTCAAATTGCCACAGAAAAATAGGAATCTAAAACTTTTTCCCTTGTCTTGTCAAGATGCCCAGCAGAAGCCAAAGCAAAACCAGACAGGCGGAAAACTCCTACCAACTGGTCTCCAAAGGATTTCCAGAGGAAAAAATCTCATTGAAGATAAGCTCAGAAGAGAAAAATGACCAAACATGAAGAAACTATCACCCACAAGCAAGAGCCAGAGGAAACAACAAATAGAAGGATCAGCACCCCAAAGTACAGGAGTTAATAGAGCAAGAATGCCATCTGAAAAGAACATTTTTAAAAGTATGACTAAAATTAAAAATTCGATGGACAGGTTAAAGAGCAATTTCTGATAAACAGAGGTGAAGGGGTAACAAGGAGTTTTAAGGAGGATCTCATCAAATGAAGCGGAAGTGGAGAGAACAGAAGTGAGAGACTACTGCTTGTCATTACAGAGTCTATTATTGGAACCACTGTTTAGTGCATCTATCATTGGGAAACATTTTAAAGTTAGAATACTAATGTGTTTTACAAAATTTAACTGAACACAGTATTCTATGTCATTTAATGCTCTATACATAGGACTCGTGAAACATTACTTCTTGCATTCATTTACGGGAAAATGGGAATCCAAAGCTTTTCCCCATTTACCTTACCGGTAGGAATTCAAGAATAAGTGCTCAACAGCGTTAGTTCATTCATAAACATATTTTATTACTCTTTTTCTCTTTTTTGTTTTAAGACGGAGTCTCGCTCTGTCTCCAGGCTGGAGTGCAGTGGCATGATCCCGGCTCACTGAAACCCTGCCTCTTGGGTTTAAGTCATTCTCCTGCCTCAGCCTCCTGAGTAGTTGGGACTACAGGCGCAAACCATCACACCCAGCTAAGTTTTGTGTTTTTAGTAGAGATGGGGTTTTACCATATTGGCCAGGATGGTCTTGATTTCCTGACCTCATGATCTGCCTGCCTCCGCCTCCCAAAGTTCTGGGATTACAGGTGTGAGCCACCATGCCCGGCCTTTATTCCTCATTTTAAGTTAATTTCTATTCTGATTTAATTTTACTTTGTGCATTTTACATCTACTTATTTTTAAAGTCCCTTGAAATTCTGAAAGACAGTCGGAATGAATCTATAAAATTCTTATTAAACAGGGAGTCAAAAGTTATCTTCCTTAAATGGGATTAATCTTACTTAGGGGTTTATATTGATTTAAATCTTTTCAGAAGTATGTATATTCTCTAAAAGGTCTCATAGGGATATTCATACATAAGGATTAGAACCAATTTATCTTTCATAAAATCTCTAACTGCAGAGCTACTCCAGTTGAGACAAGGTAGAGGCCCCCTATCATTAGCAGGCTCTCAAGGGCTTCCTGACACAGTGGGAAAACTGCTGCTATAATGATTCTCAGTTATCCGATTAATAAGAAGTCTGATTATTCTGACCAGAAGACATGGATCAAAATATACTGTAGAAAATTTGTAGGAAGAAAAGAAATATCCATTTTTTTTATTGTTACCTTTATAAACCCAGACTTCTAAGGGAATTCAGTAATAATAAAGGAAATGAGAGAAAAGCCAGCTAAAACTTAAAATATTGAAATTTCAGTCAAATTTTTGCTGCTTCTCCTTAAAGCCAAATAAAACAAAACAATATAAGTATAGCCATTAAAAATTAATCCAGTAATAGTTTTAAAAATTACCCTAAATCTCAAAAACAATTAGATAAAAATCAAGCTATTAAATGTACTTTTCTTACATTGTAGAGACAAGGCAAATGTTAACATCTTGTGTACTGTTGAACTCTTTCACAATCTTGAGTCTTTCCTCTGATTTTGTACTTCCATCAAGTCGTCGGTAATCAAGCCCAGACGCCATACAGTACTGCTGTAGCACGTCAAGCAACTAGAGGAGAGGTATGAAGACGGGCAAACATGAATCTTGGTTAAGTCAGTTTCAGACCATCACAAAGTTGAGACTTGCTAAGTATTAATTATTGGTGTTCATAATTTCTTTCTTGTAATTCCAAGAGCAATAAATATTTTTCTCACTTCTGACCCATGTATTTTACTCCTGCTATCCTGCAACATTATGGCTTTAACAATCAGAACTTGTTACAAAAATCAATCTTTTCGTTTTTAAAAAACAGTACTACTGGTCAAATCATTTATGTAAATATATGTGTGCTATTTTCTAAGTTCTAAAATACCTTAAATGTCTTAAAGAACATTGTAATTATTATTATTATTTTTTTTGAGACAGAGTTTCACTGTTGTTACCCAGACTGGAGTGCAATGGCACGATCTCGGCTCACCGCAACCTCCGCCTTCTGGGTTCAAGCAATTCTCCTGCCTCAGCCTCCTGAGTAGCTGGGACTACAGGCGCGCACCACCATGCCCAGCTAATTTTTGTATTTTTAGTAGAGACGGGGTTTCACCTTGTTGACCAGGATGGTCTCGATCTCTTGACCTTGTGATCCACCCACCTCGGCCTCCCAAAGTGCTGGGATTATAGGTGTGAGCCACCGCGCCCGGCCATGAACATTGTAATTATTAAGAACATCAACAGAAAATAAAAATCTTTGAGTTTGATAACTGACAGTAATCCTAAAACAAATGAAATTTTAGCATCTGTTCAAAAACTAAGTTGCTTACCTCACTATTTCCTACTATGTAGATAAGAGAAAATGTGGTTGTAAGGTGTCATGTAGGCACACGCTTTACTCTTTATGCCTCAAAAGTTAGCGCTGGTCAATCAAGGAAATACTTTAGCTGAAACTCACCTTGGTGGAAAAAGAAAAGAGAAGAACTTTATCTCTGTTTTTCCTGCAATGATTTAAAAGCTGCTGAAGGACCTGAAAATGAACCACAGAAAATCAGTGAACCAGTTCCAACTAAAAGTACACTTTATACATATAAACATCACTTGAGAATTTCTTTAAAATTATTTTCATACAATATTAACCTCAATCATCTTTTCTAATTCCTTTCATTTTTTCCAAGTTAGAGAAATAAAGTATTAGCTATTACATCAAATGTTATTCATCATGATATTGTCAATAAGGAGGTAAAGTTCCCAAAGACTTTTATTTCATCTCATCTGGTTTTAATAAAAAGGAAACATTTTCGATTATGGGATGCATTTAAATGGATTAATTTAATTTCCAAAATACACTTTCTTTATACCTACAATATGTTAAGAAACTAAATTATAGAGCAGCATTCCTTTTAGGAAGTATTTAAATTGTCCCTAGATGGATGTAATGAAATGTGTTCAATTACATCTAGGTTCTAAAAGTCTTGATATTTATTTTCTTAGAATAATCAGTCAGATATACACCTCTTCTCATTTTCTCCCCATTGTTTCTCTATTTACAGTAAGCTCCAACTTCCAGATTTGATTTTGACCTCAAAATGCCAGTAATCTGCCCCCACACACAGTGCTTTTAGGGAGGAAGCAAACAGGCCAAAGCCTTGTGTATAACAGTCACACTGTTATTTTTATTTCCACATCTGGCAATGACAGCTCCGGAACACTGTGGAAAAGCAATCCACGGAGGGGAAAAAAATACTTTCTACACAAAGTTTAAAATTTTTCTGAAAAATGAAACAAACACTAAAACATTTTATTAATATTTAAGCTTTTAAATTAAAAAAAACCCTAATAGAACACTTACTTAATAGTTGATCAAGAGACACTATTGTGCTAAGTTTGACCCCTACCGCCCCCAGTCCCTCCAAAAATAAACTATGGAGTCAAAAAAATATTCTGCTCAGATAACCAATCAAATGGTAAATAAAAATGTTATAGATCAAGTAAATATTACTTTAATATTTGAAGAACCTATGAAGTTTTATTTGCATGTAAAAAGCTTTATTTTTAAATAACTGATTCTATATGAAGTATATAAATTTGAATTTCATATAAGACTAACTTTTTAAATTGATAGACATTATTTTTCTCTGTTTCACAGAACTGAGTAGAAAATGCAGAAAACTCCTCTTTCCTTACTTCCAACCTCCCCCATACTTTCTCTTAACATCTGTATTAATAATATTAGAAAATATAACATCAAGTATTATTAGTATTGGTGTGGTATATTTGTAACAACTGATGAATAAATAGTGACACATTATTATTAGCTAAAGTCCACAATTTACATTAGGGTTTAGTCACTGCGTTATATAGTTCTATGGGTTTTCACAAACATAATGACATCTATCTACCATTACAGCATAATACAGAATCATTTCATTGCCCTAAAAATTCCCTATGCTTCACCAACTCATCCTTCCCTTCCCCAGAACCCTTAGCAACCACTCAACTTTTTACTGTCTCCATAGTTTTGCCTTTTGAGAGTATTACATAGTTGGAATTATACCGTATGCAGCCTTTTTAGACTGGTTTCTTTCACTCACCAATATGCATTTAAGGTTCTTCCATGTCTTTTGGTAGCTTGATAGCTCATTTCTTTTTACTGATAAATAGCACTCCACAGTATGGCTGTACCACAGCTCGTTTATCCATTTACCCACTGAAGGGCATCTTAGTTGCTTCTAAGCTTTGGCAACTATGAATAAACTCATGTGAGGTTCTTGTGTGGAATTTAAGTTTTTAACTCATTAAAACTCATTAAAATTTAATTCACTTTAACTCATTTGGGTAAATACAAAGGAGCACAATTGCTGGATCATATGGTAAGAATTTAAGGTAATATTTTTTAGTTAAGAACTTCATGAGAAATCACTAAACTGTCTTCCAAAGTGACTGTACCATTTTGCATTCCCACCAGCAGCAGATGGGCGTTCTTATTACTCCACATCCTCATCAGCATTTGGGCTTGTCAGTGTTCTGGATTTTGGCCATTTTAATAGGTATCTAGTGGTCTCTCACTGCTGTTTTAATTTGCAATTCTTTTATGACATGTAATGTTAAACAACTTTTCATTTGCTCTGCCATTTCTATTATCTTCTTTGGGGAAGTATCTGTTCAGATCTTTTGCCCATTTTTAAATCTGATTGCTTACTTTCCTATTGTTGAGCTTCAAGAGTTCTTTGTATATTTTGTAAACCAGTCCTTTATTGTTTTGCTAATATTTTATCCCAGTCTGTGGTCTGTTTTTCATTCTTCTTAAGATATTAACATTTTAAACCAAAGATATATTGTATAGAAATCCATTCTTATTGTTTGGGGTGGTATCATAACTATTGCAATTTTAAGTATTTTCAAATATTTTATAGTAAAAACAAAAACAAGTTAGAGGAAAAGTAAATTTTTTAAACTAGGGTCTTAATTAGGCTAGTTTAAAGAAACTAACTAAATAAATGCCTATAAATTAAGATCCCAGAAATTTCCAAAATGACAATGTAATCAATATATGTTGGAGTCTTAACAATATAGATCCAATGTTTCATCACTCAGTTGTCCTCCACAGAACAAGATAATCCATCTATAAAGGAATCACATATTTGGGGTTAACAGCAAGGAATCTTGGATCTTAACTGTTCTCAGCTGGTCAATCAGGCCTAGAAAGATGAATACGACCCTTGTGTGACTTCAGCAGCACCAAGCTGCTCTAGTCTTTTTTCCCACCCTCCACAGTAAGTGGCTCTGCGGCACTTCTCAAGAGAAAGAAAAGTGAGGATTTTTATCAGGTGAATGACAGCAACTTGTGACTATCCCCTTGAATGACACTTGAGGTCACAACCCTGACACTCAAGAGAAAGAGCTGGGGTCATGACTGTAGCTCTGAGGCTATAAAGATTATAGCAGGCATTCTGTTCACAGAGTCCTTGCACCTGCAGGCTGACCTATGACAAGACAAGCCAAACAAAGATCTTTTATCACCTGAATTCAAAAAGTACATGCAACTCAATTCTTGGAATTCTTACACCCATAGGCAATGATTCTATGATAAGCCTGTAAGTTCTGCATCACCAAATCAATATATGACCAGATGATGCTGTTAATCAAATGATTTAATATAGTCCTAAAATATATCCCTAACTTATTACTAGCCATCTCTGTGTGGTTGGCGTTCTCTCACGAAGCAAATAAATTACCTGCGTCATTCACATGTAAAGATACTACTCAGCCTCCAGCAACCATTTATGTTTGCCTTTTCCCTTCTAAAAATTAAAATTAAATTAAATCTAATCATTCTCTTAATCAGACACTATTAATCCTAGGAAGATTAACTTTAAAAGTATATTTTACAATTATATCTTTAATGAATATGTAAAAAATATAAAAATATAAAATGCAGTTATAAAACTTTAATTTCAACACTGATAATTTTTTAGTGAAGAGTCACAGGGAATAAAATTTAAATAAGTAGCAATAGATATGCAGTTTTCAGAGGAGGCTATAATTTCTGGAAATATTCTATTGGCTTAAACTGTGAGACAATAACTGCTCAGTTCTAACCTTGGTTAATATATTTTAATTATTTTTAAATTAAAATAATGCATATTTTAATTTAAAAATAATTTAAAGTCAATGAAATGGATGACAAAAATATATTTGCTACCTTAGAAAATATCATTAAATTTGAATTTGTTGTGATAAATCACATAATATCCTCATTAATAAAAACATCTATTTTAAAGAAACATAACCTTTTAATGCAAGTCTTTATTATATGTATATTCCTACCTTCTATTTTATTTCATTGATTTTAGAGGTCCCAAGCAAACTAAACAATGATGAGCTTATCTAGATTAACTGCTACAAGTACCATTCTGACCAACATAGTGAAACCTCATCTCCATTAAAAATACAAAAATTAGCTGCGCATAGTGGCACGCACCTGTAGTCCTGGCTACTCGGGAGGCTAAGATAGAAGAATTGTTTGAATCACTTGAACCAGGAGGTGGAGGTTGCAGTGAGCCAAGATTGAGCTACTGCACTCCAGCCTGGTGACAGAGTGGACTCTGTCTTCAAAAAAACAACAAACCCCCACCCCCCCAAAAACAAAAACTACTTTGAATTACTTCCTTTTAATTCCTTTTGTCAAAAGAAATAACTTACCTTTTAAAAATTGTAACAAAGTTGAGAATTGTTCTGTAAAAATCTGTGAATCCACAAATAAAAGATTCTTGATAGTTATTAAGGGGTTAAACAAACTAACTCTGCTGCAAGGAGGCAGGAAGCTGTCAGCATTTTATGTTGCTGCCACAGGCAATGCCCAAGGCCTGTGTCACGGTTGGAGAACTTAGCCTTACTTTTCACACCCCTCACTTGGTAACACATTACCAACAGCAAGGCAGCTACAGGTCAATTTTCCCGTGTATGACAAATGTCTCTTTCAAATTTTACAATCTAGGTCTGCAGGTAAAAACAACAGGCAGAAAATTCTAAACATACAGACCTTGCCCATCTTGAACTCTTCAAGAAATTCCTTTCTCTAATTACAAGATAATGCCTTTACCCCCTGTTTTGCATTAACATTTATATTTCTGGTAGGTCATTTCCTTAAACATTTGAAGACAAGCTATTATCTATATGATAACAGCACACATTTGAAGTATATTTGAAGCAACTACTACCGAGGACCTACCAAAAGCACACATCTGTATTCAGGGTTCATAGTGACCTAATAAATGCTGATACAACTGCACCAACTGTTGATGGCCACCATCTCGTCTGAATGATTGAACACCTGTACTGATTAGTTGGTGTTTCTGTCATACCACTGAATAAATATTTTGTATATCATGTCTGTTTGTATGCAACCTGAAAGAGAAGCACTTACCTTCATTTTTCCACTGTATTTAGGGTCAGAAAGTGTTTCAAAGGCTGCATCTTTGGTTTTCTGCACAAAATCTGGAAATCTGGAAAATACTTGATCACATATCCTTTTGATAAGTGTTTCCTTGATGGGAAAAGACGGAAGAAAAGATATTTTCACTTAACACATTTAACCCTGAAAAAGTTGAAATAATCTTGGAAAAATATTATTTTTAGAAAGAATGTATTACTTTAAAGATTTTTGCTTCCCTAAGTCGGACTAAGAATTCAGAAACTCTTAAAATAATATGTTAAACATATATGGTGTTGATGAATATTAATGATGTGGGTTATTAACTTGATCATTACTTTTTAAAAGTTTTTTAAGATTTCCAAAACAAGGTGCTAAATACTCCCAAAAAGAGTAAAGAGTACTATCAAAGAACAATATCAAATTCTTATGAGATTTCAAAATTACATTTAAGTGGCATCAACTAAAACATAGAAAGAAAATATAAAATCATTACAAAAATAACTTTTCATTTATGTGTGCTCTAGAGTAAAAGAACACAACCAAAGTAAATGATTGAATTTAAACCTAAACTTTGAAATTACTGATTTTAGCCAGTTTGGTAAACAGCCTCAATACTTAATATAAGTTATTATAAATGCTCATTTTACCCAGTAGATTAAATACCATTACACACATTATTAGAGCAATAGAAGTGACTCATCAAATATGTTATTTAGTAATTATACCAAAGAATGTTTTGAAAAATAAAGACATGAACATTATTAAAGGCATAAAAAATAATTATTTAAAATTAAGCTTAAATTTGTTCACTTTGATTAAAAACTTAAGTGCATCTACTCCTTGATATCTACAAAATAAAAATGAGCAAGTCAGTTTCCTCTTAAATTTCATCCAAAAATACTTTAATAACTTTATTTTAAAACTTTATAAAATATTTACACCAGTAGCATCACAAAGAAATGTAAAATGCCAACCAAACCTGTTGTTTGGAGGTACTAACAGCTTGCAGTAGCGCGACATGGTTAGCTACCTTCTGAAGGACTGTAAGGTAACTGAGATACAAGGTTTTCACTGTTTCACCATGAGAATTAGTCTGTAACCAGAAAAATATAAAAAATAAAAACGACTAACATAGCTATGCACCTGCTTACATCATAAAACATATCACTTACAATAATATTTATTATCTGATAACTCTGGCATAATAAATTCCATAGTCAACTATTATATAAAATATCCACAAATCACTAATGTGGAATCACACCTTTTGGTAAATCATAACACAATGGTATTTTCCATAAAAGAGAGGGGAAAATCCTCATTACAGAAAGTATTTATCCTCATGACACACAGTGATGGAAATGCTGCTGTTAGGAGGTGCCTGGTAATGAATCTACAGTGCAGTAACAGTGCTATGTGGACCCCTTCTTCTCATTTACGCTCCAAGGCTCCTAGGAAACTGGGCTATTAAAAAAAGGGAAGTAGTTAAAAACAGCAAAATAAATGAGATTGAATAAATATCAATCTAGATAAATATTCACTTAGGGTTCCTCTACGTACTCTGATATGTGACAGATAATTGAATAAAACAGAGGTGAAACATGAGCAGGAAATACAAACAGAAGGTTAAAAAAAGTACAAATAAATGTTGATTCTTAAAAAACAAAACCACTTTCTTTTATACACAGTTTCTATTATATAGATACTGTATCTAACATCAGAATAGTATTTTAAGCCTGCTATACAAGAGTATGTTCATTTACTATTAGTGGAAAATGAGAAACTTCTTGAAAATGAAATGAAATTTGAAGATGAAAGTAGGTTACTTCCCAAAAAAAGCTAAAATAGAGGATATAAAAATTAAGCTTACTTTCTCAAATTAACTCTTTGAACATCTGTTTGAATATTTATTTTTATATGTAATTACTATTTGATATTATAAAATATTTTTGAAAACTATTCTTTTTTTCAGACATAGCTTTAAATAACTGTCTGAGGAAAAGCTACTTTTTTTTACACTAGAAAAGAGTACTATGTAATCAAAAGCTAGATTATAAAGATATACTGACATGCTTACCTTATAACAACAATTTCTCCTTTTTCGGCCACTGCTACAGGTACAAGGCTCAGAAGATTGAAGTATCAGAGTCACATCCTCTGTTTCTAGCACTGTCTGATAGACAGCTTTCTGGAAATCTGTTAAAGAACAATACACCATCTGCCAAGATAAAATACAAGGTAGTTATTAGTATTTTGTATATAGAAATAATAAAAATCACAATCTACATCTGATTTCATAGATTATAATAGTGAATGTTACTATAAACTATTTTTCCCTCTATTTACATGATTTCTCCCAATTCTCTTATATTCTTTACCCCACCCTAGATAATATAAAGTATAATTTCATTTTCAAATAAACCTCAGAGAATTTTAATTAAAAGAAATAATAATATGAAGAAACAAATGATGATTTCCTTACATAACTGACCCTTGAACATGGAAGGTGCTAAGATGCCAACTCCCCACACCGTCAAAAGTCCATGTATAACTTCTGATTCCCCAAAAACATAACTACTTATAGCCTACTGTTGACCAGAAGCCTTAACAATGGTGTAAACAGTTGATGAACACATATTTTGTATAACTATTATATTCTATATTCTTATAATAAAACTAGAAAAAATAAAATGTTATTATTATTATTTTTTTGAGACGGAGTTTCACTCGTTACCCAGGCTGGAGTGCAATGGCGCGATCTTGGCTCACCACAACCTACGCCTCCTGGGTTCAGGCAATTCTCCTGCCTCAGCCTCCCGAGTAGCTAGAATTACAGGCACGCGCCACCATGCCCAGCTAATTTTTTGTATTTTTAGTAGAGACGGGGTTTCACCATGTTGACCAGGATGGTCTCAATCTCTTGACCTCGTGATCAACCTGCCTCGGCTTCCCAAAGTGCCGGGATTAAGAAAGCAAAAATATCTTTACTGTTCACAAAGTGGAAGTAGGTCATCATAAAGGGCTTCATATTGACTAGGCTGAGGAGGACAAGAAAGAGGAGTGGTTGGTCTTGTCTCATGGGTAGCAAAAATGAAGAGGCAAAGGAAGTGAAAGGAAGTCAGTGGAGGCAAGAGAAGCAGACACACTTGGTCTAACTTTACAGAAACATGTTGTGATTTCTGTCTGACTTTTTTGCTTTTCATTTCTCTAAAAAATGTTCCTATATGGTGCCAGTCCTTCTTCCACCAGTTGCTTTAGTTTCAGTGCCCATATCATAGAAGGGTCCATGTCATAAAAGAAGTCAAAAGCAATCTCGAATAATCAGATCTCCTTGCCAGATTATTTAATGTCAATGTGTCTTCTACTGCTTTTTCTGTCTTGTTCCTCATCGTCTGGCCCTGTTTTGAAAGCACTTATTTCCCTTTTTTTTTTTTTTTTAAAGTGGTTAATGCATATTTTATGTGTTTAAAATGGAGACCTCTATTGTGTTTATTTGTTCTGGCTCTGAGTTCAAGTCCTGGATATCGTTATCAATTTGTTGTCTCGTTGAATCTAAATCTCATTATGTGTCTTATGTATCTGGGTGTTAAGATCTCTTATTGTTACATTAATCCTTTTACCCTTGCATCCTTGTAGCTTTGAAATCTATTTTATTAAGTGTGAGAATTGCAACTCCTGCTTTTTATTTATTTATTTTTGCTCTCCATTTGGTTGGTGAGTTTTTTTCCATCCCCTTGTTTTGAGTCTTTGTATATCTTTAGATATATCGTTAGATTTTGTGGATAATGTATATTTTGTGTGTTTAAAATGGAGAGCTCTATTGAGTTTATTTGTTCTGGATCTTAGTTCCAGTCCCGGATATCGTTATCAATTTTCTGTCTCGTTGAATCTAAATCTCATTATGGGTCTTATGTATCTGGGTGTTAAGATCTATTATTATTACATTAATCTTTTTACCCTTGTATCCTTGTAGCTTTGAAATCTATTTTGTCAAATGTGAAAATTGCAACTCCTGCTTTTTATTTATTTTTGCTCTCCATTTGGTTGGTACGTTTTTTTTTTCCAACCCTTTATTTTGAGTCTATGTATATCTTTGGATATACCGTTAGATTTTGTCTGTATCTTTTGATTGGGAGATTTGGTCGATTTAAATTTAGGGTTGCTGCCATTTGATATTAACTGGCTATTTTGTCCTTTCGTTGATAAAAATTCTTCTTTATGTTAATGCTCTTTACTTTTTGGTGTATTTTTAGAAAGGGTCATACTGGTTGTTTCTTTCTGTGTATAATGCTTCTTTTAGAAGTTCTTGTAAAGCAGGCCTGGTGGTAATAAAATCTCTGAGTACTTGCTTGTTCCTAAAAGATTTTATTTTTCCTTCAAATGTAAAGCTTAAATTGGCAGGATATGAAATTCTGGGCTGAAAGTTCTGTTGATTAAGTATATTGAATATTGGCCCCCACTCTCTTCTAGCTTGTAGGATTTCCGTTGAGAGATCTGCTGTAAGCCTAATAGGCTTACCTTTATGGGTAACTTGATCTTTCTCTTTGGCTGCCCTTAATATTTTCTCCTTCGTTTCGATCTTGGTGAAGCTAACGATTATGTGCCTTGGGGTTGTTCTTCTTGAGGAATATCTTTGTGGTGTTCTCTGTATTGCCTGGGGTTGAATAGTGTCCTGCTTTGCTAAATTAGGAAAATTTTCCTGGATAATGTCTGGAGAGTATTTTCCAGCTTGAATTCATTCTCTCCATCACATTCAGGTACACCAATCAAGCGTATATTAGGTCTTTTCACATAGTCCCATATTGCTTGGATACTTTGCTCATTCCTTTTTATCCTTTTTTCTCTATTCTTGTCTTGTTGTTTTGTTTCATTAAGTTGGTCTTCGACCTCTGATACCCTTTCTTCTGCTTGATCCATTCGGCTGTTTAAGCTTGTACATATTTCACTAAGTTCTCGTGTTGTATTTTTCAACTTCATAAGTTCATTTGTATTCCTCTCTATATTGTCTATTCTTTTCAACATTTCATCTAACCTTTTTTCCAAGTTCTTAGTTTCTTTACATTGGGTTAGAACAAGTTCCTTTAACTCCCAGAAGTTTCTTATCATCCACCTTTTAAAGCCTACTTCAGATAATGGAACACAGTCCTTTTCCATCAGGGCTTGTTCCGTTACTGATGAGTCCTTTTCCATCAGGGCTTGTTCGGTTGCTGATGAGTCCTTTTCCATCAGGGCTTGTTCCGTTGCTGATGGGTTCTGATTTTGAGTATACTCGGCCTTCTTAGGCTGTTTTTTTCCCTTCATTGTAGATGAACTGCCTTTCTAATTAGGTTTCTGAGTCGACCTCCGACTTTTTGATTCCCAGAGCTGGGATCCGAGCAACCCACTGTGGCAGCCTAAATAGCAGCGATAAGACTGATGGTGCTCTTCTGCCCGGAAATCTCTGGTCTGGCTTCCCTCTTGAGTCCACAACAAGCGGCTCTGACTTCCCGGAGCTCCAAACTCCGGTCAGTAGGGGAAGCAGTCCCGTTGGCTCTGCATGAAGAGCTGCTACGCCGAGACGCCGGCAAAACCGCTGCGGCAGCCACAAGAGTTGCGCTGGCGACCCGTGGGGCTCCTCCACTGGGAATCGGCTAATCGGTGAGTGACAAAAATTCGTCTAAAGATGTGGCGTTGTCTCGTTCTCTGAGCTTTCACTGGGAGCTACACTCCTGAGCTGTTAGTGGTCGGCCATCTTGAAAGCACTTATTTCCATCAAGTCGTCTTCAATTAATTCCTGTGGTGTGGTGTCCTGAATTTCTTTAAATTCACTCTTGAATTTCTCTAAGATCCATATCTTGAAATCCTTCACCCTTCACCTTTTTTGCCATATCCACAATCTCTCATGATTTCACAGACTGGCTCTGTCGTAAATCCTTTGAAGTCATGCACATGTGGATATAGTCTTCTCCAGCAGGATTTTACTATTCCAGGATTGATGGCTTTCATGGCTTTTTCTAGAATGATGATGGTATCTTCATATGGTGTAATCCTTCCAGATATTCGTGGTATTCTATCAGTGTTCTCCTCCACCGCACTTACAATCCTTTCCATAGAGGACCATGTTTAATGAGCCTTAAAGGTCCCTGAGACCCTCTGATCTAGAAGCTGAATTAGACATGTTTAGGGGCACGTGGACCACTTTGACACCTTTGGTGTTGAACTCACAGGGTTCTGGATGGTCACAAGGACTGTCCAGTATCAGAAGAACTTTAAAAGGTAGTCCTTTACTGGCAAGACACTTCCTGACTTCAGGGACAAAGCACTGACATTTTTTATATTTGTAAAATGTAAATATTTGTAAATATTTATATGCTTTTATCACAACAGAATATTATTGCCAATAAATAGGCAAAGGTGCATACAAGCAAATACAGTAATGTCTAGATAAAACAATGCTTTTTTTTCCTAAATGTCCTGTTTATTCTGTAAACAAGGCTCAGAAATATAGACACAGGCCAGACGCAATGGCTCATGCCTGTAATCCCAGCACTTTGGGAGGCTGAGGTGGGCAGATCACCTGACGTCAGGAATTTGAGACGGGCCTGGCCAATATAGTAAAACCCCACCTCTACTAAAAATACAAAAATTAGCTGGGTGTGGTGGCATGCGCCTATAGTCCCAGCTACTCGGGAGGCTGAGGCAGAACAGCTTGAACCAGGAAGGCAGAGGTTGCAGTGAGCCAAGATCAGGCCACTACACTCTAGCCTGGGTGAGAGCAAGACTCCGTCTCAAAAAAAAAAAATTGTAGACACAATTTGTAGGTTGAGAAATCTCTGTGTAGATGTTACTTCACAAAAGCAGGAATGGCGATGGCTTTTTAGCGTACTAACCTACCATTTTTCTGTTAATGCAAACACAGTGAGAATGGATGCCAAATGGCCTATTTCTCTAACTGATCATCACATTTTTCTGCTCTGGTCTTCAAGAACAAGTGAAGCCTTCACTTCAGCTACTGCCTCCTTGCCTCTTAGGCCTCAACAATCCCAAGAGCAAATGCGAAGCCAGTCCTAGACTTGTAAAAATCAGGCTGTCCTTTTCCACACAATTCTCAGAGTAACTGTAATGACTTCCATTCATCATTTTGTCTTTAGCAAGTAGGTATATTGTAACTTTACTTCCAAAACCTATCTCAGGAGCCAACAGACCAGCAGAACCTGCATAGATAGTAGCTATGAGACCCTTCTCGTTTTCTTGTTCCTTCAGTGTCTCTCCCAAGGCAGCAGACCCAAATAAAATCTGTGCACCCAGATTACCACCCGTCACAAACACCTTGTCATTTGGTCCCTCTCTTTTGCATCTTCAAGACTGATCAGGACAAATAACAACATCACAGCTACACTGTACTGGGTATTTTCCAGCCAGATCTGCAATGGTGACTTAAATCTCAGCTTGTCTCAAGACGTCTACAGGGATGACTATCTCCGTTTCCTCTGCTCCTTTAGCCAGGATGCGAAAGCTCTTTTGGAAGCTATTTTTATCTTTTATTTTTTGAAGACCCAAACCAGACTGAAGAAGGATGCATAGCAGCACACATGCAGCCTGCCCCCTTCCAATGCTAGATTTTTAAAAAATGTTTTTATAAAATACTTAGTACAGCTTGACTCCACCATTAAATATAAAAGTACATATAAGAAAAAAAAAGAATATAGGCCTAGTGTGGCAGCTCAAGCCTGTAATCCCAGCATTCTGAGAGGCCAAGGCGGTCAGATCACGAGGTCAAGAGATTGAGACCATCCTGGCCAACATGGTGAAACCCCGACTCTACTAAAAGTACAAAAAAATTAGCTGGGCGTGGTGGCTCACGCCTGCAGTCCCAGCTACCCAGGAGGCTGAGGCAGGAGAACTGCTTGAATTTGGGAGGCGGAGGTTGCAGTGAGCTGAGATCGCACCACTGCACTTCAGTCTGGCGCCTGGCAACAGAGCAAGACTCTGTCTCCAAAAAAAGAAAGAAGAAAAGAGAATATAGAAGATAGTCGTCAATGAAGTACGAAGGTATCTTGAATTATTCATTATTATTAAACATAGAATCAATTATTCAATATTTCTTATGTGCCATGCATTTCAGAGCAACAAAGTAAGGCAGGCACTATTAACATCACTCCCATTTAACAGAGAAGAAACCCAGGTTCGAGAGCCTCACAAATTGCTCCAAGTCACAAAACTCTATGCAGAGGAGCTAGGATTTACACTCACAGTATTTGATTTCAGAGCACAAGTTCTAAACCTCTATACACAATTCTCTCCTTTTGTGTGTTCCTACTAGACAGATACCCAAATCACATACATGAGAGTCCATGAAGTATCTCAATTTAATAATATATTTTCCTTTCAAATCTATCTTTTTAAAGTAACAATCAAGAGGATATACTAAAATTAGAGGGCATTTCATAGGACTACCCTTATTTGGGACGTTAATTAGGTTTAGCTCCATAGTAATTTGTAGAACCTTTATTCCATTGCCCAAGCTAGAAGAAACACAAGATTAAAAACTATAAAAGAAGACCACTATATTTAAAATATATATATTCTTAAAGTCCACTCCTCATATTTTCTTAAACAATTTAACAACACAGTTTTCCTACAAATTCTAAAAGTTAGGTTAGCTATCTAACTGCAAATAGCATTCTACAAGAAACAGACCTATCTATTTTTTACAAAGCTATTAATCACACTGGTCCTACAGCTAGAATTAAGGTACCAAAGAATACCCTGTGTGGTGGACAATAGACAGTATGGAAAGGACAAAGTGTGAACAGAAAGCACATTGCAGAGAAAAGTTCTTCCTTCTTTATTGGGAAAAATTCTACCAAAAGTTTTGATGAGGCCAGGCATGGTAGTTCATGGCTGTAATCCCACTACTTTGAGAGGGTGAGGTAGGTGGATCACCTGAGGTCAGGAGTTCAAGACCAGACTGGACAACGTAGTGAAACCCTGTCTCTACTAAAAATACAAAAAAAAATTAGCCAGGCATTGTGGTGGCTCCCGTCTGTAATCCCAGCTACTCGAGAGACTGAGGCAGGAGAATTGCTTGAACTTGGGAGGCAGAAATTGCAGTGAGCTGAGATCACACCACTGCACTCCAGCCTGGGCAACAGAGCCAGACTCTGTCTCAAAAAAAATTTTTTTTTGATCAGAAATGAGTTTAATATATCCTAATAATAAACCTGTTAGCTAACAGGTCAGTAAAGTCAGTAAGGAAAACGACTGAGCTTAACCAATGGTTTCTGAAACTCTGCATGTAACAATTTTTTTCCATAAAGAGTAAAAGGCAAAAACTATGTTCATAAAATACCACAGGAGACAGACTTTTTCTTAAAAAGAAAAAAATAAAATAAAATATGACCAGAAATTAATAATATACACAAATGCAGTTCTTACCCGGTCTTCCTTCTTAGGCAACTGATCCTTGATAAGAGTCTTGGTGCGCCTGAGAAACCAACCAGACATCTTTTTGGCAAGTCTTTGCATGGCCTTTCGGCCAGTGGCTAGTTCTCTCTTGGTTGCTGTGTGTCTCTGACCATGTTCTACTGGGTCAGAAAACTGCTTCTTGAAGTAGGAGTTGCTCCCTAAAAGACCTGGCACAGCCCTTTATGAAGACAATAAGAAAAATGTGAGGGCTTTATTACCCAAAAAGAAAAACACTGACTTCTTGCTTCTAAGAGATATACTACATTACTTGATTATTAATGGCAACAAAAACAAAAGCCAAGAAAACAGAATGTTCTTTCTTTATGACAGTTTCAGGTTATAACTATAATATGAGTATGAGCTTGGCAGTCAGCATGTATATTTACTTCAGTGACCAAGAGTAATAAATAAAAAGATAGGTTTCATAGGCCTCTCTACTCTATATACATTTGGGGTCAAACACACCTAAAAATAGACAAACGATTGTTTTGTTTGTTTGGACACTAATAATTAGCAAACAAGATAGGATTCAGCTGAAGCACTATAAAATAATTTTTTTAAAAGTGTTTTCCCTCACCAGTCCATAACACACCACAGTTCCTTCATGTTGTTCTGAAGAATGGTTCCAGTGAGGCCAATGCGGACATTACATTTCAAAGCTTTCATAACTTCTGTTACTCTGGCTTTTGGATTCTTGATTCTATGAGCTTCATCCACAATGACAGCTGACCATTCCACACTATAAAGTAAGAAAAAAGAAGGTTAAGGTTGAGAAAACTTCCTTTCTCAGTCCATAGAACTTTTAGAGAGTAGCTTTCTCTATCAAAGTTTTTTTCCTTTTTACTCTTTGATGATTCCATTGGATTCTTGCCTAGTCAGTTAAATGGTCACAGTCTTGTACAGTCCATAAAAATAAAACACATAGAGAAGATAAAAGGGTAGAGACATTCTTTAAAGATGGTAAAAAGAAAAATTTCATTTAAACATCACTGAAATGACAATAAAGGATTTTTTAAAATTACCTTATTGGAATTAAACCAGAAAAACAAATACAAAGGAAATAAAACTTGCAACATTAAATCAGAACAAAAACTATCAATATAAACTCATGATTTTTAAAAGCTGTATTACATGGCCCTGTCCACTAAGAAACTTTAGAATTGACTGTTATCCCAGTAGCAATGAGCACCCATAGTGGTCTCTTCACCAAAAGGAACTAGAGCCTCATGGAAAAACGGAGAAATAGTTGATTTCAGGCACGTGTTGGGGGAAACACTGAACAGCGGGAAAGCACAGATGTATCCAAATACAAATGCGAATATGTCCAAAGAACAGAGACGCCAGGCTAATTGGAATATTTGAGCATCATTAAGAATATAACTACAATTGAATATAAAATATTGAATAAACAAAAATCCAGGAGTTCTATGAAAAATGAACTTAGACCCCTTACTTCACATCACACATGAAAATTAACTAAAAACAGATCATAGACCTAAATATAAACTAAAACTTTTAAAACACAGGAAAAAAACAATTGTTGACTCTGGATTAAGCACATATTTCTTAGATATGACACAAAATTTATAGTCAATTAAAAATAATGTGATAAGTTGGACTTCATCAAAGTTCAAAACTTTTGCTCTTCCAATGATACCATTAAAAAAAATAAAAAGACATGCTACGGACTGGACAGAAATATTTGCAAATCATAATCTGATAAATAACTGTATACAGAATATATAAAGAATTATTACAACTGAGCTGGGCACAGTAGCTCACACCTGTCATCCAGAACTTTGGGAAGCCAAGGTGGGCAGATCACGAGGTCAGGAGATCAAGACCACCCTGGCCAACATGGTGAAACACTGTCTCTATCAAAAATACAAAATTAGCTGGGCATGGTGGCGCATGCCTGTAATCCTAGCTACTCGGGAGGCTGAGGCAGGTGGATCACTTGAACCAGGGAGTCAGAGGTTGCAGTGAGCCAAGATCATGCCACTGCACTCCAGGCTGGTGACAGAGACAGACTCCGTTTCAAAAAACAAAACAAAAAAAACAACAACAGGCCGGGCACGGTGGCTCAAGCCTGTTATCTCAGCACTTTGGGAGGCCAAGGCGGGCGGATCATGAGGTCAAGAGATTGAGATCATCCTGGCCAACATGGTGAAACCCCGTCTCTACTAGAAATACAAAAAAATTAGCTGGGTGTGGTGGTGCATGCCTATAGTCACAGCTACTTGGGAGGCTGAGGCAGGAGAATTGCTTGAACCCAGGAAGCGGAGGTTGCAGTGAGCCGAGGTCGCACCACTGCACTCCAGCCTGGCACCTGGTGATGTAGTGAGACTCTGTCTCAAAACAATAACAACAACAACAAAGAATTATTACAAGTCAACAAAATTTTTAAAACCCAATTAAAACATAAGCAAAAGATTCTAATAAGACATTTCACGAAATGTCTACTTGAAGATATACAGATGGCAAATAAGTACATAAAAATATTCTCAACATCTTATTAGAGAACTGCAAATTAAAACTAGAATGGCTATGATAAAAACGATTAACAATATCAAGTGTTAATAAGGATGTGGAGAAACTAGAATCCTCAGACACTGCTTTTGGGAAAACAAAGCAACTGTTCTAAAACAGCTGGCAGTTTCTTAAAAAGTTAAATATACTGAGTGTAAGACCTCACAATTCCATTCCTACATATCTATCCAAGAAAAATGAAAACATAGGTGCAAAGACATGTATGTGAATGTTCACAGCATCATAGTTGTATAGTAATAAACTGGCAACAATTCAAATGTTCCATCAACTGGTGAAAGGGCAAAACACAGGACAGCCATATAACAGTACCATTCAGCAATAAAAAGGAACAAACTACTGAAATGTACCACAATATGGATGAACTTCAAAAGTATTATGTTAAGTGAAAGAAGCCAGACACCAAAGGCTTTATACTGAATGGCTCCATTTATATAAAATGTTCAGTTAAGGCAAATCTATAGAGAGAGAAAGCATATCAGTGGTTGCTAGGGGCTGGAGATGGGAGCAGGGACTGACTACAGACAAATAACTTTCTGAGGTGATGGAAATGTTCTACACCTAGATTGTAGTAATAACTGCACAACTTGTAAAATTTACCAAAAATCATTCTAACTTACAAGAGTACATTTTTATGTCAACTATAATTAAATAATGTCCGAATCCATAGTGATAGTCACACACACACACACACACAAAAAAAAAAAGGGAAAGAAAGAAAGGAGGATAAGAGGGTGAGAAACTTTGCCACCACGGTGGATGACCATTATGCTAACTTCCTACTCCAAAAATTGGTCATTAAAGCAAAAGAATCAAGCATTCACCATGCTTTTTAAAAGTCAAAATTGTAGTTAATTCCTAATTAATGGAGAAAGCTTTCCTTTACAGGAGAATACCATTAATATGTAAAAAAGAAATAATAAAACCAGAAAAATATTATTTTGCCAAACCTAATAAAGTAACTGATTCAGACAAGAATAATTTGTGTATGCTAATTCTACTAAGTAAAAGGACTGAGGGATATCAGAATATTTAAATAGTGGCAAAGTATCACTCCACAGATTATTTGCTCATTATAAAGGGAGAAACATACCTTTACAATGGAGAGAACTGATGATGGTAACCTCCTTAACCTGTGGGACAAACTTGGCATCACTGACAGTTGAAGAACCTGACATTAATACTTCCTGAAGTGATGCAATATGAAGTCCACAACATCATTTATGAAGCATTCTTGCCAAAAATGTTTAATCTGAATTTATTTAAGCCTTTGGTCCAAAACCACCTTATTAAAATATAGATGACAGATGAACATATTTTGAGAAAGTAATCAGACAAATCTAATATATGAGATATCCTAAAAGACATCTAACTGGCCTGGTCCCCTCAAAAAGTCACATAACTAAAAAATAAAAGTTGGAAAAATGATGTATACAGGAAGAAACTAAACAGACTTAGCCAAATTCATCACCTGAACCTTTACTGAATCCTGCTTTATACATATTAGATATTAAAAATGTTTTGAGAATAACTGAGAAAATTTTAATTGTTATTAATTTTCTTGTGTGTGACAATGATATTGTAGTATGACAACAAATATCACTAGTTTTAGGAAATCCATGCTAAAAACCTTAGAGATGTATTTTATGCAACTTCCTGAAATGATTCATTACCTTCCCTATACACGAAGACACAGACACAGACACACGTTTACATACATTAATTTATATTTTGCCAACATTTGAAAAAATACACACACACACACACACACCCTACTGAATCTAGAAGGTAAGAATATGGATGGATGTTCATGTACCATTATTTTAAGTTTTCTATAGGTTTCATCATTTTCTTAATATAAAGCTGAAAAAACCTAGAAGCCTCAAGAACAAAGAGAGGAAAAAAGAGCAAAAATTCTAGAAGCTGAAAAGAACATGGACAAGATGACTTACAAAAGTAGAGACTGCAGTATCCTATGTCAAGAGTAAAAAAAGACAAGAAGCAATCTAATTCATATGATTTAGTTCATGAAAAGTTAAGAATGGGTGGCCCCCGATGTCTCTGCAAATTAGAGTCATGTAAACGTTCAATAGTCTAAGAATCCTCCCACTGCACAAAGTAGATGGGCCAGGTCATCTGACATCGGGCAAGAGAAGGGCAAAACACAGCAAAATCCTAATTTTCCTTAAGAAGAAATCCACAGATGATGCTGAAAACTAAAGAAATTTAAAAGTCACAGAATAAACATGCTCTATAGCAGTAAGGAGGTAAAGAATACAAAGATCAGCAAGCATTGAGGTAAAGTCAATTGGGGGGCAGTGAACTGCAGTTTTTCACTAAAAGCCTTTTAGAATATTTGGCTCTTTAAATCACATACATACGTAACTCTGACAAAAACTGAAATAAAGTAAAAAACATAACAGCAATAAGAAAAAAGCTATAGCTCCTTATCTTACATAGCATGTTTATCCCCTCTGTGGACTATCCATGTTAAGTGCCCAGAGCACTATCCTCACAAAAACAACTTAATATTTGCTCAGGAAAAATATTAATTATTTTAAGTATTTGCCAAACACAAAATAAAGGCATTTGAACTAATAAATACAACTAAATAAATATAACAAAAATCATAACATTTTGATTCTTCTAATCTTCTAAATATATGATTTATAGTTACATAATTCTACTTCAGAATTCTTGTTTAATATTTATAGGAATCACAAAAAAAACGGCAACCTAACAAACATTTATTTGGCAACTCTTATATGCTAAAAGTTTAATAAGCCACTGAGATACAGAAATTAAAAATAAAAATCTCCTACATCAAAGAGTTGAAGGAGATAGGTAAGAAATAATTAAAACATGCCTGATGCTACAATACATGAATTTATTACATTTATTTAACAGCAAAACATCTTTCAGGGTGTTACAGTACATTGGTTAAAAACCTAAGGTCTGGCCAGGCATGGTGGCTCCCACCTGTAATCCCAGCACTTTGGGAGGCTAAGGTGGGAAAATCACTTGAGTCCAGAAGTTTGAGATCAACCTGGGCAACACAGGGAGACTCTGTCTCTACAAAAAATAAAAACATTTTCCAGGCATGGTGGTGCATGTCTGTAGTCCCATTGCCTGGAAGACTGAGGTGAGAGACTGAGGCTGCACTGAGTGGTGATAGCACCACTGCACTCCAGC